GAGAAGGAGTTGGCAGAGAAAAACAAAGAAGGAAAGGGGGTATTTGCCAGCTTTTCAGTTTGGCCCTACCCACCATCTGCATTACCCACATATTATCCAACATACGGTACTACCCAACAGCATTACCCAACATATTACAAATGAGGGTATGTGACAAAAAGAAAAAGAAAAAAGGTTGCTCAATTTGATCCTAGACTGGGCATTTTTCATCATCTCACTATCAAGACAACCTTTTAAAGAATCTAATTATGTGCTGTTATGTATTCATATTCATTGATTATCAGCCACTTCTGGCAGGGAGCCAGCTATCATCACATGCATGTGCATACATGTGAAAAGGTGTGTTATGGTTTAAATAAATATAATTCAATAAAGAATAACAAAGCATCCACCAAACAGTGCATGGGATGCATTCTGAGCTTTGTCCTCTGCCCTTGTCACTTACCTTCACAATCTCTTGAGCGATCTGCCTTGTTTTGTTGACATCCAGAACGATTTTGGCGTCTCTCACCACTGAGTAGAGTGTCCGTCCTTTGCACAAGCTGAAACAAGAGAATCTGAATTGATTGCATGGATGGGATTGGGGCAGGGGAGAGAACTAATGCATCTGGACAGAGAAATGGAAGGAAGGTAACATTAGAAGGGAAGGATTTGGATTTGGATTAGGACATGGTGGTGAGCAGAGAGAGGGGAAGCAGAGTCCCTTGTGTGCTCTTGGAACCTTGGCATGCCCCCTGTTAGCTGGCTTTCAACATTTCCATAGATATGAGCTGAGGGGTGCTCAAAGAGAGCCTTGGGGAACTAAGGAGATTATCACATATGGCTTTTAAATTGCAATTAAAGTTGGAAAATAGTGCCTTTGGTGATGCTTACTGCACGGCGTCACCTCCGACCAGTAGCTGCAGTGTCTCCCAAGCATGGTTAAGGATCACCACCAACCTCACCCCATAAGGCTATTTTTTTTAAACGTTTTTTTCCAGTCAAGAAACATGAATTTCCAAATGAAAAACATCTTTACAAGGTGAGAAAAAGCCCTTGTGGGACTCCCTGATCTCAAACAGACAACTGTCCCCAGCAAAAGAACAGTTGCAGGGATGACCAGAGGTGATGCAGTGTCACTTCTAGACACTAAAATGGTGGCTAGAACAATGCCCTACAGCCATCGGGAGCTCCAGAGGAGCCCAAACACAAGTGATGTGGCCCTCCAGGCTTGGCACACAAAGACCTCTGAAAGGAAGGCGATCAGTGGCTTCCATTCTATGATTCTTTGCTGGTTATATATCGCCTCAGTATCTGAGGCAGTATGCTCCCCAATACCAGTTGCCAAAAAATACAAGCTATGGTTACGGTCTTGTCCTGTCTATGAGCTTCCAATTGGGGCAATTGGTTTGTCATTGTGAGAACAGGATTTGAGAAGTCTGACGCACCTGGGGGAGGGGACCCATTTTATTGCCTGAAAGAAAAGAGAAGATAGTGACCTTCTCTCTATTCCGGATGGAGAAGCCAACTGAGACAGCAGTTAAAATTTGATTCGCCTCTGGCAGTAGGAGAGCAGACTGGGTAACACACACAGAGCTGTGCCTCACAACAAAAGCTTGGAGTGTTACTTTTAGGACAAAAGAGAATCATAACATGGTGAAGCAAATCAGTAATGTTAAGATATTAGCCTGGGGTCCAGAGCATCATCTTAGCCTTACTCAGTGAGGGATGGCTTCAGCAGGTCACTGTTGTGTGCCTACAAGTCATTTCCAACTTTGGGTGACTCTAAGACTTTTCTTGGGTTTTCTTGGCAAGATTTGTTCAGAGGGGTTTGCCCTTGCCTTCCTCTGAGGCTGAGAGAGTGGGACTTGCCCAAGAGTGGGGATTTGAATCTTGGTCTCCAAAGCTGTAGTTTGAAGCTCAAATTGCTACACAACACTGGCTCTCAGCATGCCAATTTGTTGTTGTTAACCACCATCAAGTTGACTTCAACTTATGGGGACCCTATGAATGAGAGACCTCCAAGTCACTCTGTCATGAACAGCCCTGCTTAGGTTTTGCAGACTCAGGGCCATGGCTTCTCTGATTGAGTCCATCCATCTGGAATGTGGTCTTTTTATTTTCCTACTGTCTTCTACCTTACCAAGCATTATTGTCTTGTCTAGGGAGAAATATGACAGCCTCAGTTTAGTCAGTCTCCTTGGCTAGTAGGAAAAGTTCAGGCTTAATTTGCTCTAGGATCCATGTATTCGTCTACATTCACCTTAAAAATAATGTTCCAAGCTCGACTCATAACTCTTTACCACTGCTCTGACTCCCACTCCCACCTCCGAATCTGCCACTGGAGACATTTTCTCCCTCTTTCTAATGGGAGAGCTAGCCTGGACTGAGCCAGGCTCTTCTTACATTCTTCAGAAAAAGCATCTCAGCCATACTACACCAGGTAAGATTCCCCACTCTTCCTTCTTTTTATACCTGTTGCTGAGAAATCTATTTGTGGAGTGTTAATTATCAAATACAGCTGCTGGAGTGGGGAGGGATGGACTGAAACCAATTAAAATTTGTATTGACATTTGAATCATGTAATGGAGTCCGTGGGTGGATTCTGCCTCAATTTTCACCCCACAAAAGAGAACCCCCCTATATATACACAGACACAGACACACAGATACAGAGAGAGAAAGAAGAGAGAGTCTGATTCTGATGCCCACCTACGCTCATTACAGGCAATCCAAGTAAGTGCGAATGAAATACCTGAACCCAGATAATAAACCACCTAAAATAAAACCAGCTCTGAGGATCACAGGTGTTAATGTGATCTGGTTCTACAGCTCCCAACAGAAGCGCTGCCGCTTTTAAAACCGCTCTGCCCACCCACCCACCTCTGCAGCCATCTCCTCTCTTCAGCTTCTTTCTTGCTCCTTGTGACACCACTCTCCAGAAGCCACCCACAAAGGACTGTAGGCAGTGGACACATGACAAGTGATCCAAACACCAACAGCAGAGGCAAAACATTTCAAACTTAAGTTCATCGCTTTTCGTTTCCTTTCCCAACAATCTAATTGGGCTCTGGTTCAGAAATAAACATAAAGACGTTCTTCAGAAGCAGGGTTAAGCAGGAAACCAGATATTAAAAAGCACAGCTTGGGGTGGAGAAAATGTGGCTCTCTCAATGTTTTGGACTATAATCCCCATTCTCCTGTACCTGGTCATATTGGCTTGTTCATCTAGCCAATGGTTCCCAAATTTTGGTCCTCTAGATGTTTGGGACTTCAGCTCCAAGAATTCCTGGCTGTTGGCCAAGCTAGCTGGGGCTTCTGATGACCCTTTCATAGGGTTTTCTTGGCAAGTTTCTTTGGAGAGGGTTTGTTATTGCCATTTTCTGAGATTCCCTTAGGATTGCACTCCCCCAATGTGTTGTATTCTGAGGCCCTTCATAATGTGAGGCCTTAGGTCAGTGGATGGCAACTCCCAAGGGTCAGGGGTCTACATAAATCCCTTGGGACCTTGGAGGGCCATACTAGCTTAGCACCCCCTGGTAGGTAAACTAGGGATGTCAATGCCCAAAACAGTACTCACTGCCCATACTGACTGTAAGATCCTGGGAGCTGTGGCTCCCAAAAGTAATTTTTCTAAGCCCTGGTCTCTACTTAGGTGGTTATGATGATAAGAGACAATGGCCATTGCCATGAACTCTTTGGGAGGAGAGCTGAAATGAACATGTAATAGAGACAGAGCAGATACCAAGATGGCTTCAAGTAGTGTGATATATGGGCCCTCCTCTTTGGTTTGGAGTCTGATTTAGCAATTTGGATCTGAACCAAATTCAGGTCAGATTGATCCAGGCCTTGAATCCCAAGCAAGATTCCGGAATCTGGATTGCCAGTCCTCCTCCTTTAACTTTCACTGGGAAACCAGAAATCACACATCTACCTAAAATTGAGAAACCTGGTAAACCCTAAAGAGGGGATTCATCCAATCCAATTTTAGACCATAGCTCCAGAGGTTTTTTCTGCTAGAGACTAGTCAAATTTGCCATTCTTCCAAAAAACAAACAAATCCATCTCAATGCCGACTACTAATTTCACACTGCCTTCTCTTGGCACTGTCCCCCAGAACATCAGTCAATTAAATCTACTGAAATCTAGCTAAGATATAGATAATAAGGATAATGACAGCGTAATTGAGCAGAGGACACTTTTTTTGCTTTATTCTACTAAAACCAATTTATGAGATTCAGTGATGCAGTATAAAGAAGGTGTCTGTGTGTGCGCGCGAACAGCATGATTTATTGTAACCATCAATCCAAGTGATGCAAATCTTTCAATGAACTCCCTGCTTCCCCTTAAGGCATTTGGTGATCTGTTCTGGTGTTGGAAACTTCTCTGTCATGGTCTCATATTGCTCACATCACTTCCAGAGTTGCCTCCCTAAGCCTCTTGAAGAACTGCTTCTTCTTCCATCACCCTATGTCCTGCCCTATTAGTCTTGCACTGGCTACCCTGGTTGCTTTGACTTTCCCTCTGTCCTGAGCAAGACTGTTTAAGGTATTAGGTATTTAAGGTATTGTGGCAGACTGCTGGTGCTGTAATGCCCTGACCATTTATCTCTGCCCATCTGCTGCCTACAGTCAAGGCAGATAGCAATCCTGAGTTCCTCTTCCACTTCAAAACAGTCCCAAAAAATGCTCTACTTTTTCCCCTTTTTCTGCCTGCCTTACCCCTAAGACCTAAGTAGCAACAACAACTATGGGGGAAGAAGGAAAGAGAAAATAAGTTTAACTATCACATGTGCAGGCTCAGACAAATGAATAAGACAGACAAAAAGACTATGTTCAACAACACAAAAAGAAATTAAAGAAAGACTTTGAGTGTGTGCTGTGTGCCTTCAAGTCGTTTCTGACTTGATGATGACCCTATCATGGGATTTTCTTGGCAAGATTTATTCAGAGGAGGTTTGCCATTGCCTTCCCCTGAGGCTGAGAGAGTGTGACTTGCCCAAGGTCACCCAGTGGGTTTCATGGCCAACAGGGGATTAGAACCTGGTCTCCAGAGTCCTAGTCCAACACTCAAACCACTACACCATGCTGGCTCACAAACAAACAAACACCTAGCAAGACCAAAAGCCATCCAGCCCTCACTACAGCTCTTTCACAATTTGCTACTAACATTGTATCACCTTGGCATCTTCTTTATTTGGCCTGGTGGGAGACACACTGTCGAAGTTTTTTAAACTTATTTTTCATGTCCACCTCTCCAGAGTCATTTGCAGCACTTTGGACAGTGTTCTGCTGTGAAACAGAAATGGGTCAACCCAACACTCTCCAGGTCTTGTACAAATCCATTTGAATCAGCCTGAGTCCCTTTGTTACCTGAGATTCATCAATCAGTTGCACAGCCCTAGCTTAAAGTTAGCCTTCCATATTGGATGATATGAAATTGTAAAGCAGCTAACCACATCATGGTGAATTATTAATAAATTTTGTATTAGCACTAACATCCCAGAGCTTGGGGAAAGTAATCACTTCTAATTAATTCCATTTTGCCATAATTAAAAGTATGACTAACTCACGTGATGAGTGTAACTTTAGGAAGGAAGGATGGCTTTGGTCCTTTTGTGCTTAACTGCATCTTTTTAATTTAACAGTTAGGGAGGTATGGGCCTCAATAAACAGTAGGAGAGCACTGGCTGATGCTGTAACTCATACTTTGTTAGGGTGTAGAGACAGGAAGAAAGTGGATGGGTGGATGTTTTGTATCACCGACTTTTAACATTCAGATTTTATTTTTTTTTAAAAAAAGGAAGAGTTTTAGTTCCTTTTGAGAAACTGGAAAGTAAACAGTTACTTCTAAACATTGCAACAATAATAATTTTAGAGGAGCAGGCTTGGAACAATGACTTTAAGTAACTACTGTCTGAGAGCCAGCGTGGCACAGCTGTTTGAGTGTTGGACTAGGACTCTGGAGACCAGGGTTTGATTCCCAGC